CTTCAATGCTTCTTTCTTGTGGGGCTAAAACTAAAGAGGTAGCGAGCCCAACTAAACCATGCCGCAGGAATCTCTTTTGAGTTCTGGATGGAGTGGTTGTTATACGAGTTAAGCATAGGTTTCCCTTCGCTAGCTTGTCAAAGTTGGAGCGGCGGGCATTGCATTCTTTCTTCCGACTTGACATTCGAAATAGAAAGCTGTAGAGGATCCTTAACCATCTTCCGAAGTTTTCAATAATCTACTAATGAACGAAGAAAATCAGTATCTCTACTCGACGCCCCGGATCGAGTAGCACAGTGAAAGGGGGCCAAATTCAGACTAGCGATGTGGAATTGATCGAAACGCATTAAAGAAAGTGACGAAAGAGAAGACGAAGTAAGAGAAGGAGGGAAGGCGCGCTACAACTAACGTCCTAACAGCCAGCGGAAAAAGGCTCTAAGTGCTTCGCTTCAGCGGCGGGCATTCTTTCTTCTTATTAGTAAGATAACGAAAGTCATAAACGATTAGCTTGAACACCCGACCTCGGGGGCCTTCAATTGGTCCTTTCGAACTCAAATTACAGAAATATCTGTTAGGTTCTTAGTAGCATCGACACCATTAACTACTGCTTCTGTGCCCCACCAATTAGCTTAGCTCGGTATTGTGAACGCACTAGCTAGGGGAACCCTCCCTATTCTCCTAGCTTTCGTTTTCATGCTGGGACTCTCTCGAGAAAGCGAATAGATGAAGTGGGAGAGAGTAGCTTGCTACTAGTAGTCGTCTTGGTATTGGATCCATCCGTTCTTCTTTCGGTACTCCTAAGGGCAGTAACAACTAACAGCTGTGATAGAGGCAACCTCACAAACGATATAATATATTACTAGTAAGCTAGCATCTAACCGAAATCGCGTTACGGAATGAATCGAGGAATTAAAGATCACCGACGTGGAGACAAAATCCTGTGGATTTCCCCAATGAATTCATCCATTTTCTTCTTGTGAAGGCGTTCAGCTTTGGATCTTTGAAGATCTATCTTCATGAGAAGCAGATTTATGCACCTTTTATTACTAAAAGTATTAGCATTATCTTTCTTCTCATTACCAGTAGCATTATCTTTCTTTTCATTACCAGTAGCATTATTATTAGCATCTATACCATGACGAAACAATTCATTTAATGAATACATAGCTCTTTCCTTTGTACATCCCCCCTATTTTTTGCCCTATCACTATAGGTTATTCCCAACCCATTTTCCAATTCTTCTCTGAACTTTTTTTCTCAATCTTTGGAGAATGCGGCGTTGTATTATTGTAAGTTTCAAACTTAAGTATAAAAGAGAACTCAAATAGATCGAATTTAGTATTGGTGAACATAATCTCTGCGCATCAATCAGCCTTCACTCCACCCTTCAATCCAAGGTATTAGGGGAGTCTACTTCGCCCACGCTTGGGTCATATATTGGAACAAGGACTGTACGCGGGTTGCCTTCTCCTACCTTCTTTCGGATGAAATTCCATATCGTAGCCAGAACTCGTTCCTCCTTTAGGCCTGGTATTACAGTGTGTTCCTCAGGTCCGTCTTCGGTCGACAGCAGGAGCAAAGGCACTTTATGACGGAATAAAACGAACCAATGATGTAAATGATTCATCCTATCTCGATCTATAATACAGAGCTCCACCTGGTCGGCATAAGGGCTATCTAAGATCTCCGGAATTTGAGATCTATTCCGAGTTGCTATAAAGATCATTCTGATCACAGGAGAAAGAAATGAAACCAATAAATCCTTTTGTTCGTGTGGGATAGACACTTTCTTATAAAATCGGTCTACTCCTATTGGTAGCCCGTACACGAAAGCACCCGCAAGCCAGTCGAAAACGTAATATACATTGCCAAGTTCCTCCTCGGTATATGGCGAGGGGTTCCCGCGATCTGACAAATATTTCACAAAGCGCTGTCCCAGAGTTTCTGGGGTATGATAGGGTGTTGTTATGTGAGAATAGGGGGTTTCATTACCTGAGCCTCTAATCATGGATACAGCTTTTGACTTTATCATGCGGATTCGAACTTACAGCCTTCAGTCCACCCTTCAATCCAAGGTAGGGCGAGCAGAGCGTAAGAGTTAGCTCTCCCAGTTACAGGATATAGGGCTTTTATTCCAATCCTCTTAGGAATCGACTAGCAGCAGCTCAAGATAGTCACCACACGAACCTTTAATAAAGGGACGACTCACCAGACTCGAACTGGTAGATAGGAGAATAGGCCCAAAATATACCATATATGCCTATATGTGGTTGGATGTGATGTTTGTGAGAGAAAAAGTGAAATGATTATGGAGTTGGATGTGATATTTTGTTTGGATTTGTTTTTTTTGGTTTTGCAAAAACTTTGTCTTTTAGTGGAAAAAATCAAAAGAAACCCAAAAAAAAATCTTGCCAAACACCGCCTTAATAAAATTAACATTCAAAATATTTTATTCTCAAATTTTGATGCCTAAGTTGAGGTTGTAAAGGTTCTTGTTATTAAAAGGTTCCATGTTTTTTTTTAAAATTCAGGAAAGGTGGTGTTTGGGTGGGCCATCTGCTTTCTGGGTATTCATTGCCAATGGAAGATCTGGGTCAATCTAAACAGACAAATGTGGAGGGTGTTGGTGGAACTTGGAGAGAAGCAATCAAACTTGCCTGTGAGACTACGAATGCAGCTTTTCCAGGGGTTGAAGTTATGGCACATCTTGATCACAAGTTAGTGATTCCCACCAAGGAATTGTTTTTTATTTTAATACATAAACATAAAACGAAGTTTACCTTAATGCTGTGTTTGATTGCTAAGATTTCGTAAGAGCACAAAACCTGGAATTTCTACAAGAGCGACCCCAACCCAAGCTCTCATTTTTCATTTATTCTCTCACAAAATCTTATCAATCGAACAGTGTAAATGCAAATTAGCAATCAGTGAATGAATCAATTATGAGATCATTCATAAGGTGATTAAACAAGTTAGGTATTTGCCAAGTACATTGGAAGTTCACATAATCCCCTTGATGCAAAGAAAGCCCTGCTATCATACTTTAAATGCTCATCTTGTGTAAAAAGAAAAACTACTATAAACTTGAAATTGTGGGGATGCTAATTTTGCCCAGCACCATAAAATGGTTAGTTTCGATATCTACATTATTTGTTAGAGATGTCACACAAATCAAAATAGGTCTCTCTTATAGAACTGAAGTCACTACTATGAAGGGAGCACATATGACTACCTACAACACCTTAGAAGCTTGAAGTGATGGGAGATTTTCTTCGGCATGCATTAAATGTTGTGGAAGAGCTTCATCAGCATGAAGACGGTTTTGAATTAGGATAGAACCAAGTTACTACAAACAAACAACGACCATAAAACCTAAGTTTCTCAGCTTGTTTGACCATGTTGTGTAGCATGGATGACCATAGAGAGGACCACAGCGTAGGATTAGTCTGTCTCACCGTATGGTCCCCTATGCTCATAAATGTGGTAGACTACAGTGATCATAATTTGGTTGACCATCTGGATGGATGTGAACAACTACTATGAGTCAGTATGGTCGACCATACCTTGGAAATTTTTAGAAAAAAATAGCCGCTGAAGTCTTGACATAAATACCCGAACACTCCCATTTGGGGTCTTTTGATGAGAGGAAGGCACCTAGAGACCCTTATACATCTCTTATACACCAACATATGCATTTTGAGTGTAAATCTAATATTTGAATACTGACCTTGTAGCTTTCATTCATAAAGTAAGTGCTTTCAAGAGCCTACCCCTAGGGATTCTTTCAAGATATCCGCTTGTGAAAGGTATAATCCTTGTCCCTTAAGTATAGACTTTACACTATTGTTCATCAAATATACCTTTACAAGGAAAGTACACTTGTACGATCTAGTACAAACTTGAAAATTGAGTACACTTCTTTTAAATTGAAAAATTGGTTATATAAGTCATATATTTGACCCTTAAATGGTCAAGAAATTAATTTTTAAACATCTTTTAAATTGAAAACTTAGTTGTATAATTCATATTTAAATGGTCAAGAAATTTATTTTTAAACCATTTTAAATTGAAAAATTAGTTGTACAAGTCACACTTGAGCCTGGAATGGTCAAGAAATTGAATTTTAAACATTGTACTTGACTTTGGCTTAGGGGAGTGATTAACTTGGAAATTAAAAAGTTTTACCCCACCAACCACTTGAAGTTATACAAAGTAATTAAAATATCAAATTGACTTGATTACACCGATTTGTCTAATGTTTAATGCGAAGAATACGTGTCTGATCATACTTTATTGAGCTAAGAGTTCCATGTGGGATTTTTCCACAGCCTAGTATTTTACCGTAATTTAGTCTATAATCTTGCATGGTGGAATGATTTTTATTTTTTACTTTTTATGAGCATAATTGGCAGGGACTTTGTTCATATGTTTTACCGGTAATCTAACTAAGGTAGTCAATTATTTACCGATGGATGCAGGAGCTTCAAAAGTTGGCAAAGAAATGCCATTACAGGCTTTTTAGCGAAGCAGGACATTAAAATTGGCAAACAGAGCGACTTCTGCTGAATTTCCCGGGTGATGATAGATTAATTGGTTTATTTTTATTTGTTATCATAGTTTTCTTTTACTTCCAATCCCATACCATGTTCTTAAAACTACTATTCTTTGAATTTATGATCATTTCCATTCTAAAATTGTAAATAGTAATTGTCTAATCCTATAAAAAAGTCGGTGGCTGCACATTTTTGACATATTTTCTTCTTCACATATGAAAGTTCCGCATGTAGTTTGCTGATGTATTTTATCACATTTTTGAGATTTGAGTTGGTGAACTAATTCCCAACTGATTGAGAAAGATGATTGCTGTTTGGCAAAATGCGATTTATTTAATAACAAAAGTTCATGAAATTTATTAGTTTTTATAACATTGATTTTTTAGGGTAAATTACACTTTGAGATTTGGAAAAAATACAAGCCTCATAATGAGTTTGGCATAATTATGTGGATTTCCTTTTTAGTAAAGGTAAAGCAAACTAGATTAATGCATGTGGTGTGGACACATGGAAGATAATTTAAATAAAATAAATATTTCAGTATAAATTGGACAATATTATTTTCATTCATATGATTAACAGATAGTTGATGGTAAGGAAACAAAGTGATATGTCAATTTAAATCTCAAGGGAGTACAATGTAATTAAGCTAAATTTGTAGAATTTGTTGTCTTTTTTTTCAAAAGCATGAGGGAAGTTAGTGTAATTTATCTTACTTTTTATTTATTTATTTTTTATTTTTTAAATATAGGGTTGTGCTAACAATATCACAGGGTGGAGGAAATGCTAAAATATATACAATTTTATTGCATTTTTAACATGTTTTTAAATATTTCTATGAACTATTTATATATTCTTATATAATTTTTATAGGGTTGTCATTAACATTTTTCTTATATTATTTTTTATTTCAATAAATTACACTACTATTTCTCGAGGTTTGAAAAAATTATATTGAGCATTACAAGTTTGATAATAGTTTGCCAACCACATATCCAACTTCCAAATATCTAGAAATAAAAATGGCGAATTACACATACCACCTCTGATGTGTAAACCATATATATAATAAACTTTGTACATAATTATACGGACCTTTCTTAGTAAGGCTAAAGCAAATAGAAAGATCTTTCTCTCAAGCATTTGTGGTAGAAATATAGAAGATTTTCACATATTAGAATACACAAAAATGATACATTCCTTTAATTTGGGGGCTCTAAAAGAGCATTAATGATATGAAAATCAAAAAAAAAAAAAAAAAACAAACAAAAGAAGAAAAAAAATAAGGCCAAAATATTACATCACATGGAATCCACACACTAATTAGAGCTCTTAATTTAGAACTCCTAATCTTTTTTCCTAGAACACATATATAAACCACCAAGGGGCCATCGTAGTTGGTAAGGGAGTATGCTTATCTCCTTACTGGCCGAATCCCTTACTACTCAAGTGAAAATCCAATGGTTTAGGTGGATCGGCTAACTTCTCCCAATTTGACTTATAAGGGTGGATCCTAAGGGTCCTGCCTTGAAAGTGTTATGGGTATAAAAATATATATATATATATATATATGTATATAAGACAAAAGTGGGACACCTGTCCAAATAGAATCCACATGTGAAACTCATTTTTTATTTCAAAGTGTGTTTTATTATGAAAATCATCTGAACAACTTTCTACTATCCCAAAGCCATGCATATGACTTATATGAGGGTGTGATTAATCTAGGCTTATTAATCTTCTAGGCAATTTTATTTTCCAGGATAGCAACATCCATACAAGCTTCAAATTTATTTAGGTGTTTTCTTTTGATTCACTGTTTTGGTCTTCTGTCTTTTTTAAACCATTCAGAAAATTTGAATCATATGAGGGAGAAGAAGAAGCTTCCATTAGAAAAACCTCAAAATTTCCTTCTAATCCCACCTGCTATGGACCATAACCAATGGGGACTTGCCACGTGGAGATTTTTGTCCTTAACATCCGTACATGGAGGGGGGTTAATGTTTCAACTGCTTTGAAAAAACAAACATTACTTGGTCGAAAAACAACTCACTACTCTCTATTTATATGCATCTGTTTTCAATATACATGACTCAAAAAACATAAGCAATTCAATTGAGTTCTTGACATGGCTTTGGCAATGAAACATTTGATCTTCTTTGCCATTGCAATCCTTGTGGTCTCTCAAGCCACAGAGGCCAAGAAGCTCAAGCAAACCCAGGTCGAGTTCTACATGCATGACACGGTGGGTGGTCCGAACCTTTCTGCAGTTAGGGTAGCCGGCCGGTCCAACTTTACTGGCTCATGTTAGTATATATTAGTATATATATTAGCTGTCAAACCTTTAATAATATACCTTTAATGATGTTGTTTGGTTTGTGTTTCTACTTTCGGTTTGTAATTGTTCTCCCTCTCCTCTATAAAGGAGAGAGCTCAACACAATCAATAAAATATAATACAATCCATATATATACAATTCTCTATTTCTCTTTATACATTATATTTTAACATGGTATCAGAGCTAGGTTAAGCACTTAGTATTTTTCGCCTCACCGGCGGGGGGGGACCCCCCCCTGGCCGCCCGCCG